TCATTTTGTACAGTAAATCAATTCTCATTTTCAACCACACATTTTTCAATAAAATAATATTTTCCATCACATCAATACTTTTTTCTTCTTTTTCAACCGCACATTTCCCATTATATCACTATTCAAAAATCAATTCTTCCCCCAAAAATCTCTGCCAAACACACTCTGAGAAAGAGAATGAGAAGATAATGGAGTCAAACAGGGGCAAAATACGTGGTTAAAATTATTTGTTGACTTTAATTTGATAAAAATTCAGATTTTAATTTTTATCAAACATGATTTAAAAATAAGTTAAAATTAAAAGAAAATCAAATATAAAAAGAATATATGACAGTAAACCCAATTCAAATTTCAAAATTTAAACGAACCAATGATTCTTTCATTCCGCCAATATTTCATCTCCCTCAAACACTTAAATCCTGACTATTGCTATTCCATTTGTCTCAAAACTCAATCAAAGCATATGGTGAACAAAGAGCCAACATTTCAACATTTTGCATTGACATTTCACTTTCACGTGTTTCATTAGTTTGGATTTTATTTATAATTGTTAAATGGTATGTTGCTCATTTTAGCATGATTAAATAAATGGCTTTGCGTTGGATCATATTATGGTCCGAGAGCTTTATTATGAGCGATTAGTGATGGCAGAAGTAGTGTGTGAGAGAAAATGATTGGGGATGGTGATGCGAGATGCAAGAGCTGTAATGGAAGTAATAAGTTGCGATAGGTGATAATGGTAGTCATTGGTAAGCAATTGGATGATGTTAGTTGGGGATAGAAGTAGGGATGGTTGAGATAAGAAAAATTGACTTGATTGGTGATGATGATGGTGGAAGGTGACAACTATTGTGGAAAACAGTATTGAAGGGAGATGTTAAGTTTGAGATGTGAGTGTCACGATAACACATTTATTGCCCCATAAAGAAAGTAAATCTCTCAATTACTTAATGTAAATAATAAGTTTTTACACAGAATAGACAATTTATAATATGATGTTAAATAGTTGCATTTGATCATATAGTTCTTCCATTTTATAAATTTACTTTTGGCAAGTATTATAGGTAGTCCATTGTCAATTTATTGCACCCTAGTGCTCCAATATCCTCTCCCATACTTTTCATATTGTGTTGCTATCTAATAATTTGTTTCTATCTTTTTTGAAGGTTTTATATACAGCCACCTATTTGGATGATTACAACGTGTTCAAACTTGTTATAGTACACTTGAGAGGTATATTGTACTGGTTTGTGACGTGTTCAATGCTTTGCTGTTGTGGTTGCGCTTGTTTTTTTTTGGAGATATTAGAGAAAAATAGGATTCTGAGTTGGATTGCGCTAGTAAACTTCGTTCTTGATTCAGCGTTGGTGATTATAAGTGTAAATAGGCAATCTACATTTGTAGAGAGTCAAAGGGAGACGTAGAATCCTTTTTTCTTTTTTCATAACTTTTTTAGTTTTTACAATGTATTCACCATGGCTAATTGATTTGGCCTAGCAAGTTTGAAAGGTCTAGTAAGTAGCACGTTTGCAAAGTCCAAATAGTAAGTATCTCAATAAATCAAATTCATTTATTTGAATAACTAAATCATATCATTTTGTTAATTAAGGCATTGCAAGTAGAGCCACAATCATAATTGGATGTTATTTAGTTTCATATATTTAATTAAGAAAATATTGAAATATGCATTTTGTGGCATATTTTATTTTTCCTTTTATGCTAAATATTGAGAAGATAACTTGTACAATCAGTTTATAGTTTTATAACAAAATGTTATTCGTAGAACCAAACTCAAACCCCTGTTTGGATTTGTGTTTGAGTTCAATTCCAATAATTGCGTGACCTAAATGGTTCCACTTATGAAATACTCGGTGTGATGAGTGTTCCAATATTAAAATACTCGGACTAACCCATCCGATGTTGAAGCTCAGTTTGGGAGATGAGTCATTTTGAGTGAATTGTCTTAACAATTATGTTAGTGAATTAAGAAGATATAGAGTAAATGAGGCTAGAATAGAGAGCTCTTGAGACGATCTATATTAGCTTCACTTGTTCCAAATTACAATAGAGAACTTCACTCTTATGCACATATGTTCCAACTATTTTCTACCATAATCAGAGTATATTTGGGGGTAGCTTATCTAAAAGATAAGCTAAAAATGTGTGACTTATTTTAAATGTAGATGGTCCACATTAAGTCCATGTTTGGTTTCAATTAAAATCAAATTAAAATTTCAAGTCAAGTCAACAATTAATTTTAATAACACATTTCACAGGATTAACAATTTTTCAACCATACATTTCATCAATTTTTATCAAAATATATAAAACAATTCATTTTAATCTGCACCAAATGAGGGCTAACAATAAGTCACATGGTTGCCTATTTTTAAGATAAAGCATCCCAAACATGCTATAAATTGCACGTAACAACTAATTTCAATCGCCTCAATTTTAAATATGAAGTATTTTTAGAGATTGCACAATATGCTAGTAGAAATGGTGCGCGCGCACACACACACACACACACATATATATCAAGAATATATGTACATTGCACAATATATGTGCGTACACATATATATCAAGAATGATCTCCTACCCATAATGGATAGGAGTTATTTTGCCCACTGTTGACCTAAGGTCATCAGGGGTTA